AAAACGTCAACAACAGCAATTCAGAAGCAAAGGTGCCAGATAACTCAGGTCTGCACACAAGACTCCATACCTAACCAGTAAAGCATATTTATCCACTTTCCTCAGGAAAAATAATGTTCTAGGATAGACATTTAAGAGCATTCTTTGTCGATCTTGTCTAACCCAGTGTAGCCTAAAGAATTTCCACTGGAAAGCAAGCCAGGGTTAACCCATCTCCCCTATGACGCAGACTGACTTAACTCTAGAACAGAGAGAGAGAGAGGAGAGGGAGAGAAAGAGAGAGAGAGAGAGAGTTTTCAAGATAGCAGGGCTTCTTCTACACCACCCCCATTTCTCCTTTGTGCCCTTCTATGAGTCAATACAGTATTGTGCTTAAGAGTACAGACATGAGGAGCTACCCTACCTAAGCTGTCTCTGACACATAAAAGCTCTGTGGATGCAGGCAGTTACTTGGTCTCTCTATGCTTCAGTTTCCACTTAAAAGCACCTGCCTCATACACTTACTGTTAGGATTTGAGGAGTTAATATATGTCAAACTCTTAAATATTAATTATCGTTATGGTTAGTCACTATTGAGACTGATATCTTCACCTTCAAGATAGAACAGAATAGGGGAAAGAGTGTCCATTTAGAGAGGAAGTATTTAAAGTTAACTTTTATAATGTTCAACATTTAATTGATTGAAATGATCAGTTTCCCAGCATATTCTCTCAGGGATTTTATGATCTTAAAAAAAATGTAGAACATACTTTGCTACCAAAAATATTCTATGAAAAAAAAAAAACAAGAAAAAAATGCATAGTTTTACATGGGTCAGGATGGTGTGGCTTACAATGCTTTATGTCAATGACTGATGTGAAGTGTTAAGTTTCATTAAAAATCATCTCATGAAAGAAAATTTTCTCATATGAAAGAATACTCATGACATTATTTAGAGGGACAAGCAAATTATGAAACAGAATGCAAACTCCAATTCGAATCTTAAATCATAAAGAAATGTATGAAAAAAGACTGTAGAGATAACATCTAAATGCTTACAGCAATTATCATGGGTGGTTTTCTTTCCTTTAAAGATTTATTTTTCTGTAAGGCAGAGTTACAAAGAGAAAGAGGGAGAGACAGAGTAAGAGATCTTCTATCTGCCGGTGTATTCCCTAGTTGGTCACAACAGCCAGGACTGGGCCAGGCTGAAGCCAGGAGCTAGGAGCTTCCTCCAGGTCTCCCGCGTAGGTGCAGGGGACCAAGCACTCGGCCCATCTTCTGCTACTTTCTCAGGCACATTATCAGGGAGCTGAACTGGAAGTGAAGCAACTGGGTTTCAAACCAGTGCCTTATGGGATGACAGCATTGCATGTGTTGGATTAACCTGCTGCACTCCAAGACTGGCCCCGGTTTTCTTTCTTGTTGATACTTAAACCATTTTTCAATATGTTTTAATAGGCATGATGTATGATTTCTAAAACTGGAGAAATATCATCAATAAATATATCATTTTTTAGTAATGGGATCTTAGAGATGTTCTATTCCAGTGGCTCTCAGTTTGAGAAATATTGGCTCCCCCAACCCCAGGACACTGGGAAACGTGGGTGGGGACTGTCACATTGACTGGGATCCATATTGGCACTTAGGGTCAGGCATCCTAAGAGTACTAAAGTCCTTTACAACAAAGGCTTATCTCATCCAAAATACCAAGGCAGTCCTATTGACAAAATCTCATCTAGCTCATCTATTTCACAGTCTAGGATATGGAAGGCCAAAGAAGTGAAAGGCTCGGGGTTAACACAGCTAGTTAGTTCTAAGTTCTAAGTTAAAACAGAGCTTAGCTCTTCTGGTTCCTAGATTAGTGCTTTTCCCACTTCTTTTCTTCATGGAAAACGTAAAATTTGAAAGTGGTTAGGTGAACCGATAGCAAAGTAGGTTGAAAAACAGCCACCCAAAGATACCCAGTCCTAATCCCTGGAACCTGTACTGTATCTCATAAGAAAAAATAGTCTTTGTAGATATGATCAAGGCTTGTCTTCATTTGGGCTACTGTGACAAAATACCATATACTGGCTGGCTTAAACATTTACTTCTCATCATTTTGAAAGTTGGAAGTCCAAGGTCAAAGTGCTGGCAGAGTTGGTGTCTGATGAGGGATCTATCTTCCTAGTTGCCAATAACCACCTTCTCAATGTATTCTTCCTCTTTCTCTCTCTCTTGCTCTTTTTTTTTTTTTTTTTTTAAGATTTACTTATATTTGGAAGGCAGAGTTACAGAGAGGCAGTGGCAGAGAGAGAGAGAAAGAGAGGTCTTCTATCCACTGGTTCACTCCCCAGATGGCTGCAATGGCCGGAGCTGCATCGATCCGAAGCCAGGAGCTTCTTCCAGGTCTCCCAAACAGATGCAGGCGCCCAAGGCCTTGGACCATCTTCTACTGCTCTCCTAGGCTATAGCAGAAAGCTGGATTGGAAATAGAGCAGCTGGGACTTGAAACAGCATCCGTATGGGATGCCAGCATTGTGGGTGGCTGCTTTACCCACTACGCCACAGTGCCGGCTCCCCTCTTTCTCTCTTTTTAGGGGCACTAACCTCACCTTGATGGTCTCGTCTAACCCTAATTATCTCCCAAAGGTCCCACTTCAAAATACCATCACAATGGAGATTAGAGTTTTAATATGAGTCTGGGGGGAGATGCATTCAGTTCCTGAGGATCCTGACATGCGGACATCGTCGTGAATTAGCTGAGTCGGCACCTAATCCAATCACAAGAGTCTTGTAAGGGAGAGGCAGAGACCTGCTGTTCCCTCGCTGCTTTTCTCTGCCATTGTGCTGAGTGTGCCTGATTCCTTTCCTCTCTATGTCTTCTCCCAAGACTTTCAGGATCAAGAGTTCCAAAACTGTCCTATTGTTCAATAGATTAGGATGAGAATCGGTAATAAAATCAGGTAAAACTCCAAGAGGAGACCTTGGAGAAGAACCAAGCTGGGTCTCTAAGGACTTGCACATGACATGATTGCCTATGTTGTATCAAGGTCACTATAAGCTCACCATAGCAAACTGAAGAGGCCACTACTCTCTGGACAGTGAGAAATGTTTTATTGGGAGGTATGATTTTGTCTCTCTTCTTTTATATATATATGCTGTGTACTAGTAAGTTGGATCAGTAATGAGCAGGTGAAAACATTTTGGGGAAAACAAGACGAAGGAGATTATACAGCCAGAAGAGGTGAGACCAAGCCATGAAGACAGGGATCGGAGTGACATAGCCACACGTCAAAGACGGCTTGCCGTAACCTAAAGTTGGAAGAAGTAAGGGGCCCCACAGAGAGCAAATCTGCTCACCCACAGATTCCGATAGGATGAGGCCATGAAAGAATGTTCTGAAATGGGAATGGGGTCTGAGGAGCCATCATGAACCAAGAAAGGATGGCAGAATGCCTGTGCATGCAAGGAACATTCAACAGGCAGATTGCTGATGAAACTGGTATACATGGAGCTCATGGAAGATACACTCTGCCCAAATTGTTCCATAATTTCTCAGCATTTCTAAAGGCTACCAATTCAGGTCATTTAATTTAGAAAGATCAGAAAGTCTGACACAATATGCTAGTCTCTATTTGCTTTCCTATATTTGCTGTCTGTGAAATATAAACAAACCACAAAAACGAAATATGTGAAAAATAACAAATTTAAATCTCATGTATACACTTCTTCTCCACTGAAAGGCAATTTACATAAGACACAAATATAAACAACATCTGTGTATATCTCCAGTAATATATTAAATGATGATGCTCCCTTTAACCAAAAATGTACTTATGCATTCAAAATTGCCATTTACATAGAATTTGGGGGAAATACACATTCTTTTCCAATGGAAATTACCCTAATATGTTTTAAAATATGTAAACATGCCCTAGATATATCAGACTGGTATTCGTGAAGTATCACACATGTTCAAAGTTTACCCAAGTAATTATGTCTTGCAGTTTTTAAAATGGAATGTAGCTCTAAACACACACACATACTCACTCTACATCATACACACACAGAGTTCAGAGTTCAGATTTCCATATAGTGTTTGTGAGATTCCTTCTTCGGGTGATTAAGACACTGAGGATTTTAATCATCTTTTTCAGGAATAAAACATGCAACTATTGGTAGCAGCAAAAGGGACACCAGTTTTATTACACACTGTCTGAACCCCTGGGACTTATTCATTCAGGTTCCTGAGGCCTATATAGAAGGACATAGAAGGGGTGGGCTTGGAGATACTGATACCACCATCCACAAAGTCATCTTTTTGGAATGAACACCCTCAATTGTAGATGGTATCAAAGCTCAATAGTGGGGGCCGGTGCTGTGGTATAACAGGTAAAGCCTCCACCTGCAGTGCTGGCATCCCATACAGGCACCGGTTCAAGTCCTGGCTGTTCCACTTCCAATCCAGCTCTCTGGAAAGCAGTAGAAGATGGCCCAAGTCCCACACCTGGGTGCCCACCAGCCAATCGGATTGATTGACTGCTCCCCTTTGGAGGTGGGTTGAAAGCCTGGGACACGGTGTGTCCGGCCCTTCTCTTCAGCCCTGGCCTCTTTCCAGGAGGGGGCTTGCTGTAGCCCTGCACCTCCAGGACATGTGGCCTTCAGGCCACCTGCCCTATGCTTCCTGGCCTAGATGCTCCTCCACGTGGCTGGTTCCTGGTGCTCGGTATGAACCCAGATTTACCTCTCTCCCTTAATAAAGCTCTCACTCTTCTATGCATCTTTCTCACTAAATAAAGCTTAAAATGTTGAAAAAAAAAAAAAAAAGATGGCCCAAGTCCTTGGACTCCTGCACCTAGGTGGGAAACCCAAAAGAAACTCCTGGCTCCTGGCTTCGGATCAGCCCAGCTCCAGCTATTGCAGCCATTTGGGGAGTGAACCAGTGGATGGAAGTCTCTCTCTCTCTCTCCAAATCTGCCTTTCAAAATCTTAAAGAAAAAAAAAAAAAACAGTTCAATAGTGAGCATCCTCCTTACCTGTGACTCTCCTCTTGCTCAAAATAAGTTTTCTCTGTTCTCCTCCATCTTCTCTTCTCTCATTCTGTCCAAATAAATCACCAATATCCTTTCTTCTCCAAAGACTATCTGCTTGGAAGAGGAAACGATGTGAGTGCACTGATTGACTGCATGAGCTCTGAAGCACAATGGGCCCGAGTTTGGATCCTGGCCTCCACACTTAATAGCAGTGTGACCTCGGGCAGGCTACTTACCCTTGAGTCTCAATTTCCTTATCTGTGGAATGGGGAAGACGAAACAGTGCCAACCTCACTCTTGTGTTGACAGAAGGCTTTAATGAGTCGTTAGCACAAAGTAGCCAGATGCCTCCCATCTGATCCCAAGGAGGGCCTTGAGCTTGATACAAGACGCACTGTCAAGCACAAGCACATTGCATGCGAAGAGCTCGGAGCACAGCCAGTACATCCCTGTTGCCTTTGTGTCTGGCACATGCAAACCTTTCTTGGAACTACTTAGCCATGCAAGCTTCCACAGCCCTCAGGCACACCCCCAGCTCTCTGTATTTCAAATAGAAATGTGGAATGGATCTGCTAGCCATGCAGGACTGCCACATTGCAAGGAACTGATCATGTACACACACTCTCTCTTCTTGCTCTAAGTGAACCTGGTACCAACTCAGCCTGGTGGAAGTGTTGTACCTTGTTGTAGACCTGAGTCACCCATTGGTCTCTCCCCCGATGGTGCTTACCTGCATTTTCACCTTAGCAACTCCTATGTTCTGCTGTACCCAGTGGCACAACCTGACCCCGTGACAGTAACTACTGAATAAGTGAGAGCTGTTTGTGAACTAACTACATCGCATCTAAATGGCATCAATTATAAGAAAGTCATGATTTTAGAAACCAATAATAGAAATACTTCCGGTTATGCCATGACATGTCATTGATTTTTATTATACATTCTGACTTCAAAGATGTCAAAACGTGAAAATAATGTGCAGTCTAGAATCTGCGAAAAACTATATTATTATAAGAAAAATGGATGTATGCATAAAAAGGCACTTAGTGCCTTCTCTGATTAGATAGAAAAATGTTTTTATGGATGCAGAAATAAATTTGAATATCAGTAGGCATAAACTTATAAATGGCATCCAATTCTCAAATCTCCTCTAAACTATCCATAAGTAGTCATTTCCCATAGGCACTGTCATTTTTCATGTTCCATTTGGTGACTGATTTTTGGTGTCATCAACATTTAATTCCCCTTTGAACACCTTTTATTTAAATAAGCTCAATTATTACTCTCGTGCTCTAGCTCTAGCAGTACCTTCTTCTTCCTATTTCAAGGGTATTCAAGGACCAGAGTCTCGTTCTCTCTCTCTCTTTTTAAATCATGACAGTAAAGGCAAGTTATCAGATGCGCAGTTCATCTCCTAATGCTAGGATCTGTTCTGTGTGATTAATCCCAGGGGCTCCAGTCTTAGGTCTGAGGCTCTAAGCAAAGAGGATAGAGCTTCTCCATCTTTGCTTCACTTCCCCCCAGAAGTATTCCTGCAGATTATTTTGGGGCTGCTTCTTCTCAAAGGCACCCCTTCACTGCTAGGGGTTTCTGGGCAGTGGCTCTGCTTATGATTAATTATCCTGAACCCAACTTGGACCCTTGGCTTTCTGGCTCTTAGCTGAGTAGCCAAGATATTTCTCTCGAGTGAGATAGTTGGCTTCAGTTCTAATTAATGATCAGTCGTTATCAGCTTAGTTTAGACTTTTTGCTCTCTGACTTTTTGGCTGGGTAGCCTAAACACTTCCCAGATCCAAAGAGCTGGCTGAAATTTATGTTTCTTTTTTTGGCACCGTCTTGATAATTCTGATGCTTTCCCGGATCTGGAGAAAGATTTTAATTGTTTACAGTCTTGATTAATGGATTTGCTGTTGCTTTGATAGTCCATCATTTATATGGATGATAAGAAGCCAAAAAACAAATGGGCATTTTATATTACTCTTCTGGGATATTTTAGGCAATCATTTTAAGGAGTTACTGTTTTGTTTCCTTCCCTATTACTATTAAGTTACTAATAATTTTATTATAATTGAACTTTAAACTATCACTACTTCTCACTCCTCTCTCCCTGTGGTACTTATTATGCTGTTAGATTTCTCACTGTTGTTTCAACAGCATCCTTTCCCAGAGTCTTCTGGTTGTATATCTAAAGTTGGCAGCTCACTAAGACAGTAGGGTATCAGTTTGCTTGCAAACACAGGCATTCTTATCACTTCCTTAGCATCTATCACAAAATTCAGTGAACCTTGTCCTCTTACCCTATCAAATAAATGAATCCCTTAGACTCCATAATCACTCTTGGGTTAATTACTTCATTTGACCAACTAAATCATTCTTATTTAAAGTGGAATCCCAGGTTCATTTTCACTAACAAATTTTATTTCTGCACTATCAACTTGTTATCTAAGTTCTAGTTTGTGTCAGGAGTTCTTCTTGATATACAGCTATTATTTATTTATAAAGGCTGTTGCTGTTGTGAATTAATGCACTGTTAACCTAGCCTAGATATCCTCTGCTTTCCAAGTACTTGACTTTGACAAAAATATATCTCTTCCATGCTAGAATTCTCCGTATCTGCTTTCTTGGTTTCCCAAGGGAAAAGAATGAAAAAGAAAGTACACAGAGTTTTTGAGTAAGGTGACAGCATCAGTTATTTTCTATTTCCAAAATAATTTTTGCTTATGAAGTTTCATATGACATTTTCTTGACAGTGACCCTAGAAACCTAAGTTTGCTCTCAGTTACGTTTGGTGCCTTAAATCAACAGAGGCCTGACCCTACAGCTGATTCATTTCTGTTTTCCATTTCAACTACCTCTCTTTATTTTCTGTCTGATGCTCACAGAAATTTCACACATGGTGGAAAGCATTTCTCCCTAAGTTCACCCAGTCTCATTCTTCTTGAACCTTCTACTGCAATCGATCCCATTGCCGCTTCCCTCCTTCTGGAAACCCAGTCCTTCCTCCCTTGGCTTGCATGACCCTACAAGGTCCTACCTCTCCTCCTTCCTCTTCAATCATTCTCCTTCTGTCTCCTCCACAACCCCCTCTTAATCCTCCCGAACTCTAATGCTACACCACTCCAGGGGCTGTCTTGACCTTTTGCTACTCAGTCCCTACACTTCTTCCAGACGCACAGCCTTTCCCAGCTTCAGCCATCTTCTTCACCCTGAGTCCATGATCTAAGCTCAGTGCTTTCACCTGAGTTCTGATTCATGTTTCTGTTTAGAAAACGTCCTCCTAAAAACCCTATCATCTCACATTTCTCTTACTCATTTACTTAACCAACATTTGTTGCATGCCTGTGAGGTGTCACATACTGTGCTGGGCCCCAGAGACACAGGGCTGACCAAAGTATACTATGTCAGCACTTTGAAAGGCTGACAGCGGCCCAGCAAAAATCTGAGATAAGGACTCTATCCAATCACTGCTAAGTCATGGCGAACTAAAGCGGAGCAAAGCAAAACAAAAACATACTGTTCTTCTTGTGCCCCAGATTTGCTTTTTTTCTCTTTTCCAACTCTCTATTTCCCCTCGGTAATCCAAGTTATAATTCCTGATCCCAATCTTTCTGTATTAGTCTGATTTCTTCTGTAATAATCTATGTAACAAACATCCCCAAATTTCAACAGTTTATAAAAAGCATTTATTCACTGGGTCTGCCAGTGAGTTTCAGCTCTGTTGATCTCATCTGGGATGAGCTGGGTTCATCTGCATTTTCAATTGGATTTAGATCTACTCCACAGATCATTTTTGGACCCAGAGTAAAGAAATAACAGCTCCCTCCCTGGAGCACGCTCCTCTCATGGCACAGGATGGAAGGTTCAGGAGTGTACCTAAAAAGCCTCCATCTGGAACTAGTCACAAAGCCATCCCCAGGATCAGCAAGACAAGAAAATTCTCTCTTCCCCCAGTGACAGAAAGAAGAAGAAAGGGGTGAATATCTGCCAAACAATAATTTAATCTAACTCCTATTTTTTTCTCCTTCATCATCACTACCAACCAACCAACCAACAAGTCCCATCAATTTTTACTTCTGTGAGTCTTATATTTATTTGTTCCTCAGCCAGCCATTCACTGTTCCTGCAGTTGCACAGTGGATCTTGATGCCTTATGTTTCTCTCCTTCCAAAACCAAAAATGTCAAACTGTCCCCCAAAGTGACCAGACTATTTCACATGGATACCAGAAATGGATGAGCATTTCAATTGCTCCTTTTCTTCATCGGCAGATTTATTGTTGGGATTTTTCTCACTTTTTTTCTTTTATGACATTCTGATAGATGTGTAGCAGTTTCCCACTTTGGTTTTAATTTGCATTCCCCCAATGATTAATGATGATGAACATATTTATCAATTTAATATCTTTATGTCTCCTTGGTAAAGTGTTCGATAAATCTTTTACCATTTTTATTGCTTATTTTTTTCTTTTTGAGTTTTGAGAACTTTGTATATATTATGAGTTCCAGTCTTTTGTCAGATATTTATTTTGCAAAAGCAGTACTATCTCAAAGTCTGACTGACTTGTTTTTCATTCTCTTAGCAGTATCTTTTGTAAAGCAGAAGGTTTTTTTCTTAATAGATTTCATATTTTATCTTGTTCTGAAACCCTCTTTTCTCAGGGCATCTTGTATGGCTAAAGTTCCACAGAATACATTTTGGAAGCTGGTAAGCCAAAGTATACCTAGCATATAAATAACTAAATATATTCAACTTTCCAGAACTACAAATGTCAACAAGCAAAATGATCTTTGTCACTGTTATTTTTATTATGAGTGAATGTCTTTCATTTACGCCTTATCATACATGTGTGTATGTATAAGCTGTGCATACATATTTTGTGTATAATTTTCTATTATATTTGGGGTTGTTGCTATTGTTTTTGTTTGTTAAACTCTGATTTATCTAGAATTATTTTGAAGTTATATGTGAAGTAATAATCCACTTTTTCCAGATGGATACCAAATTATCTCATTGTGATATAATAAATTATTCATAACATCTTCACTAAACCTTACTATATTTGGGAGTATTATTTTTATATTTTTAAATTCAATTGATTAGTTTGTCCATTTA